AGCCATACATTTAATATATATCTTTAAAAACAATTCAACATGTTTTCTCTGGTGAACATCAATAAAATATTTTTAGGTTTTTTACGTAGGTAAAAAAATTTAAATTTAAATAAAAAAATGATTATAATTAAAACATTTTACCTACGTGTCTTTACCGCAAAAACCTAAGAATATGAATCCTTGCAGTCACGAAAGCTTCAAATCTAGAATCAATAAAATAGCAATTTTTAAGATCTCACGTGGGGGCAACCTCCCCCATCACCCCTCCCGTCACAACTTGGATCTGCCACTGGTCCCTCCAGCCAAAAGTGACATTTAATAAAAAATAAATGTCCTGGTGAGACATGGCAAGGACAAGAATGTTGTTTTCACAGCCCGTGGCTGTACGTTGCCTTTACCCCCTTAGACTCGCCCCCGCCTGCCTCTCCCCTCTCTTCTCACCCTGCATGGAAGGGGCGGAAGGGCAACTTGGAGGTTCGGACTCAAACGTGGCAGGAAACCTCGAAAGACGTAGCCAGGCTAAGAGGCAGCGATGCGTGTCACGAGGGTGGGGTGGGAGAGGGCAGCTCACCAAGACAGTCACCGGAGCCGCACCGAGAGGTTGGTGACCAAGGTGGAGGCCCATGGCGGTAGGACATCAACCTTGGTGGCCTGAGACCACCGGTCCCCGCGTTTCCCAAGCCAGGTCACGAATGTCAGAGGTCGCAACCGGGTACCCGATACCCGTACCCTACCCGATACCCGGCTACCCGTTTGCGACCCTGGTGCGGCCGGGTACGGGTACGGGTAGGCCGTGAGTCACTGGGGAGTAACTGTTTGTCACTCATTTCCCAACGTCTTGTCTCTTCTCACAATTCAAGTTCCTAGAATCAACCCACCCGTGCCTGCAACATGGCTTCATCCCAGAGGTCGCAATCGGGTACCCGATTGCGACCCTGGTGCGGCCGGGTACGGGTAAGGAATCAAAACCCGTTTGCGACCTCTGACGAATTTACAGAGAGATCACGTGTCCACTACTCCGGTCAACTCGGGAAGGTGTTCATTTCATGTTGCGCGTCCGAGTGTTTTTCCGCCGCAACATGGCGCGTTTACAGCGTTTGGTTTGCTGCCATAGATGTGCACGTGATAAGCCACATTGCTGAGCTATCATTTGTGGACAGGTCGCTTCTGAAAAAGAGCTGTGTTGCTCAATGGGCCTTACCTGGTATATATTTTTTTAAGTTTAATTTTAATGTATCCTGCACGGTATCCGTGACGCAGCTTGTACCTCCCCCTACCTCCTCGAAAGGCAATAATCTCTTCCCCCCAGCTCCGTCTCGCGGATTGGGTGAGGGGGGCACACAGAGCCGGCCCAGCCACTAAGCGACCCTTGCAATTGCAAAGGGCCCCGTGTCCAGCAGAGGGCCCCCTAGAGTCACTGCTAGCTAGTGGGTGAAAAAAATCATACATCAAAGGGGCCTCCAACCAAATTTTGCTTAGGGCCCCCAAAGGTCTAGGGCCGGTTCTGGGGGCACACAACACGAGTCGAGAACCGCTGACCTCGGGGGGGGGGGGGTGGGGGGCATCGAGACGCGACCCCCGCACGCACAGCGACCGCGCGTGCTGATGCTCTGGGACAGCAGATGAGCGTGAAACGAAGTGGACCGGGTGCACGGTGGAGGTCAAAGCCTGCCCGTGTGTTTAACCAAGTTTACAGCCCATCCGCTTTTTGACCACTTAATGTTTTTTTTCATCACCGGATGACGCCGGGGCGCTTCGTGTTCTTGTCGTTTTCCTCTTCATCTTTGTCCGTGCCGTTGACAGCGCCATTCCTTATTTCGTGCTCGATGTGAGCGCGCGCAAGGAAATTAAAAGGTCATCCGGGTGTGTCTGCCGTGTCCAGGCTGCCAAAATCTCGTTCTCTCCCACACTGCTGTTACGATTCTCTGAAGATCTCGACGCCGGCATCATCACGCCTTGCTGAGGCGAGAAATTAGATCTGGGTTAATCTGGCCGAGCATGGGCTACCAATCATTCATTAAGAGTTATTGAATCGACAAAAAAGTTAAAACTGCCGCACATTTTTTTCGGTTGTGTCGCAACGGCTCTCCGATGTGTTGTCGGGGTTTATTCCTGAAGACGGTGCCAGCAGCGTGCAGTGAAACGTCAGACCTCGTGCCAAATAAGCGCGGAGTAACAACCTCATGTAAACACGTTTGAGAGAATGTAGCCAGCGCAAACCGCGACAACCTACGCGGTCGAAATTTGAAATTGCCAAAATAAATTCTGGACATGCAGCTGCACGGTAATTATGAATTTGATTTGGAAGCTGCCATCGAAATTGCCATTCATTTGAGCTCGTGTCTTTGTTCCCGCGGGGATGGAGCGCGGTGTGGCGAAGCCCGCCATCGCATTGGGCGATGGCGAGAGGGGGTTGATTCATCTGCCAGAACCGATTTTCCCTGTGGGTCTGATACGTCGGTTAATGCGGCGAAGGAGCGTGGCGGGGGCGGGGGGAGGGTGAACATAAACTATTAACTATTTGTTTTCACCTTACCAGATAAAAGGCCCCACTGAGCTATGTAGCTCTTTTTCGGAAGCGACCTGGCCACAAATGACAGCTCAACGAAGTGGCTCATCGTGTGGAAATGTACAGAAGCCAAACACTCCAGACGCACGTTTCTAAATGTGGAAGGGGAAAACCGGAGGACCCGGAGAAAAAAAAATCCACATGACTCACGGGGTGAGTGAGAGAGAGACACGCAAACTCCAAATACACAGGCGTCGGGGTCGAAACGGAGCCCACGACCTCCTGTGCACCAGGCGAGGGAGTTCATACCTCGCCACCGCCAGCTGGCCAGCAGTTGCACGTGGCGATCGACGTCATCGCCACGTGGGTCCATTCCACGCTCCACCCTCCGATGTCACCCGCCGGTTGTGGCCTCTCAGAAACTAAGCAGGGGGTTTGAGCCTGGTGAGGGCTTCTGTGGGGATGGCCACCAGAACCACCACCACCACCACCACCAAGGGAGGGCTTTGCCAGATGAGGGGTCCGTGAGATGTGGCCATGGAAATGCCCAATGTCACCCTTGTCATTTTTTGTCGCGGGATTTCTTCGTGTTCTCCGGTTTGCTCCCGCACGAAGCTAAACGCTTATCTATCGTGCCCTACATCCCAAATTCAGTACCAGTGCCGAATTTCAGCCGGAACTCTTTTTCCAGAACGCTGTTTTCTGGAAATTAGGTTTTTTTTTTCACGTCGCATCACGTGTTTATAAACGTGGAGGGAATAAAAACCGGAGGAGCCAGAGAAAAATCCACGTGACCGCACCTCCGATTCGCACGGCTGGCTACGTACAGTGCGAAATAAGTTCTACAAACATACACATATATTTCGGTTTAGTTTATCCTCACTTGTTCTTTAAATCAACCTGTTCATAGGATTATACGAGGAGTTTTGGGTACAATAAAAAATATATCGGATTATCGTGGATATGCGTGCCGTGTACTCTTAGTGGTAGTGCCTTACGCCGATGATCCCGACACCAAGTCAGCCTCTGTAGCGGTGTTCAGGAAATTATCGAGTGAGAAATTAAGCCCAACGTAGGACCCTCTTGAAAAATAATCTTGAGACTTGCCGAAGCTTTCCCAGGAAATAATAATTTCAACTAAACTATTAAACTCTTTAAAAAAATACATATTTTAGCAGGGTGCTCTGCGGGGCACTGGTATAAACATCGTTATATCTTTTGCATTTTTATTTCATTTAGTCAGCACAAAATCCCACGCACATCTTATTATGATTTTATTTTCAAAGGCTCCATGCAGATAATTGTAGTTTTGGAATTTGGTCTTTGACACGCATATTACAAGCACACACAAAAGCCTTCTGCAAATGATGCCACAGGGTCTGCATTAAAGCACAAGCCTCCTCATTATATTACACTGGGTGCAATTGCTCTTTTGTTCATCATGTTTAACTACCACTGCAGGAAGCGCCTTGAATTCTATATTACTCCCAACGGCAGGCAATCACGTACACCTTTTATGCAGGGCGCTCCGAGCCACCTGCATCTTCACGTGAATCGTACTGCGCACCTAAAGAATGATTGAGCGACAGCCCGTCCACTGTACGGTGCTTTGATCGATAATTCCCTGCAAGAAATTAACAAATCAGCCGCGGATCTAATCTCGTCTCAGTTTGCCGAGCACAAGGCCAGCCGGTCGCCTCGAGCGTGAGCTGCCTCTGTCAGGCACGGTTAGCGGCCCTTTGCCCGTCACGAGGTTAGGTCACGGGTCAGGACACGCAGTGGGTATCCTTATAACCACACCAGCTCCTTCCATTGCAATTGCTCCATTAGCTTCTAGACGGAACGAGGGGGGGGGGGGTGGGGGGGGTTCTCATGGAAGATGCAAATGCGACGTGTGCGATGCGAGAGTCATTTTCGCCGACTGCCCATTTCTCGCTGTGCCGTCGTTATTAATGGATGGACTGTCATTCACTTGCAGTCCTGTTTGACGGAGCTGCGTCGACCGGTGGTGGTCGAAGGTTGGTGGCCGTCGTGGTGGCTGGCGGTGGTGAATCCCCTGCGGCGATAGACCAAGAGGCGCGTGGAGCTCGATCCCGTGTCGAGCCGTTCCCAGAGCTCCCCCAGAGCTCTCGGGATCTCAGTGGGGGACCCGGACTCCACGTGGACAGCGATGCTGGCTCCAGGAGAGACCAATGCCTCCTGCACGACCTTCACGCCACGTGGGCAGTAGCCCCACGGGCGTTTTCATCGCACGAGACCGAGGACTGCAGCTCGTCAGGGATTCTGACCCCCACAGGGACTCTGACCCCACAATAACTCTGACCCCGACTCTGACTCGGACCAGGCTCGCACAGCTGACCGAACCCCACGAGTTCCTGAGCCGGCGGTCTCTGCTCGAGCCTGATCCACACGAGGAGGACCCCCCGCGAGGAACATCGGTCCGCCGTGAAGGCGGCGGCCCCCGCCCCGAACCCCCCACCGCACCGCCACCACCATGGTCGCCTTCTGGAACGCGTCGGAGCCCCAGGGGCTGTCCCCCGAGAGCGTGACAGTCCCTGTCGTGTTCCTTCTCATCTTCCTGCTCGGCGCCTTCGGCAACAGCCTCGTCATCATCGTGCTGCTGTGCAGCGGGCAGCGCGGCAGCAGCAACACCACCACCAACATCTTCATCCTCAACCTCAGCGTCGCCGACCTCTGCTTCATCCTCTTCTGCGTGCCGTTCCAGGCCACCATCTACACGCTCGACGGCTGGATCTTCGGCTCGTTCCTCTGCAAGGCCGTGCACTTCATCATCTTCCTCACCATGTTCGCCTCCAGCTTCACGCTGGCGGCCGTGTCCGTCGACAGGTGCGCCACGCGGATTTCTCGGGACGGCCCGGGTCAACGTTTGACTTTGCTCTTGTTCGTTTAACACGCGGTAGGCTTTCGCGACCAAGATCATTCATAATAGAGTTTTTTTTTTTTGGGTTGGGTCACGTTAATATAAATGTGTTGGTCAAATCCGCCACCACCACCCGAGATTTCCTGGATGCCGGTTGTAGTTACAGGTGAAACGTCGTACTCAGCTTGTAAATGTTGTGGTTTTGCTCTCCAACACACCGGTGTGCTGTACTAGTAACGAATTGGCACGTTCTGTTTATGTGACAAACCTTACTAATTGGCTGTGTCGTGTGGTGGAGGGTTTAACGACACATTTATATTTATGCAATCTAACCCAAAAAAATACCTGTATTTGTTGTCGTTAGTTTAATTCATTGTCATCATCATCATTATCGTCGTCGTCGTCATCACGATCCATGGGAAAGACAGGCCCTGTAGGTGTCCATTGCACATTTTGTCATTTGATGATTCCACTTATTCCGTCTGTCTTGTGCCAATGTGCTCAGGTTAGTGCCACATCTTTCCGGCACCAATATCTCGTGTCGTCATCAAGCCATCCTCTGTCAGGTCTTACTCTCTTGGTTCTTTCCATTTTTCCCGAACGACAACAACAACAACAACACACTTTTAATAATGTTCCTGCTCATAATACAGGTTTTTTGGGTTAGATTGCGTACGTATATAAATGTGTCGTTAAACCCGCCACCACCCCACACAGCCAACTAGTAAGGGTTTCGATTTAAAGCTTTCGTGATTGCAGGGATTCATCTTCTTGGTTCTTTCGGTAAAGTCACGTAGAAGGGAAGTAATAAAATAATAAAAATATAACATAATAAAATAATTCTCACGACGTTTCGGCCACAACGCAAGCAGCCGTCCTCAGGTGAAGGACAGGGGGCTGATGGCATTGATGGCATTGACCACGGACCCCCCTTGACCCTCTCTCAACTCGCCAGTTGATAGCACGTGAGAGTGACCTGACTGGGCATTGTCGTGCCTCCCCCTTGCACTCCCCCCACCCCTCCTCCTTAGGTACCTGGCCATCCGCTACCCCCTGCGCTCGCGCGAGCTACGCACGCCACGCAAGGCCGCAGCCGTCATCGCGGCCATCTGGGGTCTGGCGCTGGTGTTTGCGGGCCCCTACCTCAGCTACTACCAGGCCGTGACCTTCCAGAACATGTCCATGTGCATGCCCGTGTGGGCCAAAGAGCCGCGCAAGCTCATGGACATGGTGACGTTCGTGTGCGGCTACCTGGTGCCCGTGTCCGTGTTGGGCCTGGCCTACGCCTTCACGCTCAAGTACCTGTGGACGGCCGTGGACCCGCTCGAGGAGATGTCCGAGTCGAAGAGGGCCAAGCGCAAGGTGACCACCATGATCCTCATTGTGGCCGGCCTGTTCTGCGCCTGCTGGCTGCCCCACCACGTGCTCATCCTCTACTTCTGGTTCGGCCACTTCCCGCTGACGCACGCGACCTACGCCTTCAGGCTGCTCTCGCACTGCATGTCCTACGCCAACTCGTGCCTCAACCCGCTGGTCTACGCGCTCGTCAGCAAGCACTTCCGCAAGGGCTTCCGCAAGGCCTTCGCGTTCGCCTGCGGCCGCCGCTGCTGCTGCCACCGCCGCCGCCACCACCACCACCACCATCACCACCCCCGACGCGGCCGCGTCACGAAAGTGCACGTGCTGCAGGTGGCCAACCGCGTCGACGTGGCCACCACGGAGCTGTCGCACAATGAGGCCGAGCGGGCCGGCTCGGCGAGGCACGGCAGCGGCGGTGGAGGCGGCGGTGGAGGCAGCGGCGGCGGTGTCCACGCTCGTGGCGCAGTCGCCAGCAGCGGCGCCCGGGTCGGCGTCACGAAGTCTCACGCGCCGTACTTCGCTTTCTCGTCCGAGTGACAGCGGCTCTGTCACCTTCTTCGCTTGTGTGTTTACCTCCCCCCCCCTCATCGATCTACCCTGCCCGCCCCCTCTACCAGGAGTCTCAAGACTCTAGTTATTTATTTTTCTTTAAGGAGGGTCCTGCCAAGTGTTTCTCATTTGGGTGGCGATGCTGCTGATGTTGTGTGTGAGTGTGAGTTCCTAATTGAGTAATTTTCAGGTAATTCTTCAGCTTATATCGCATGTTTAGGCCAACACCAGTAAAAAAACTTCAATTACTTTCTTTTTTTTTAGTTATGGGAGGAAACCGGAGAACCCGAACGAAACCCATCTAGAGAGCAGGTAGGGGAGAGAGAGAAAACACACAAACTGCACACAGAACGGCGCACCCAGTCGAGGATCGAAGCGGGCAGCCATCTTTGCTGCGAGGGGGCACGTGTGGCGGTCCCATTTTGTCCCGCCACCTTTTTAGGCGGCCATGTTTCCGTGGCCCACAAGAGGGGCGCGGATTGAAATCGGCTCCTCTCTACCTTTACGCCTCGATATATTCACCACGATTGTGCCTCTTGTCGTCAAAAAACGCCAGAGGTAAACGCAGACACGGTACGGTATTGCAACTGTTTACCTTCCTGACACGTTGGGGCAATATTCACGTTGGGGAAGTAGCCCACGCCGGTTGGGGGTAGAGGAATGGGGTGGGATGTAGCGGGACATGTCCAGATGTCTCCTGCGTGGTGTCCTTTTCGACCACCAAACGTATTAACTAACTATTACATCTTTTTATTTTACCAGGTAAGGTCCACTAATATATATAGCTATTTTTCAGAAGCCATCTGGCCACAAATGATAGCTCAATGAAGTGACTTATCACGTGGACATTTATAACAGCCAAATACTCTAAACGCACGTTGATTGTAAATGTGGAGTGAAAAACCGGAGGACCCGGAGAAAAATCCACTCGACCATGGGGAGAGAGACACGCAAACTCCAAATGTACAGGAGTCCGGGTCGAGATGGAACCTACCACGTCGTACATACCAGGCGAAGTAGTTAACATCTCGCCACTGGGTTCGGTCTCTGACCTCGCCTCTTGCAAATTGAGCCGTCGAAAGCTGCGCCCAGCACGGCCCTATCATGCTGGGGGGAAAACAAAATAGCCTCGCGGATTATTGCGATACGATGAGCGAGGCGAACATCGAAATTACTGCACTTGAGGTCCCCTCAAAGCGCGGGGTGAGATCTCGGAGGGCGCGTGGATCAGCGTCGTAATGCGGACAGACGCCAGTCCTCCCCGGCCCACGCGGCATCACAACAAAACCCAAATGGCAAGGGTGGAACGACGCGTCCCATCGATGTTGCTTCGTAAAGCTCACGATAAACGCGTTGGTAATTGGGTGCGTAAGGATCAATGTTGCATTGCAGTTTGTATGCGGTGTAATGCCGTGGGCGCGTGTAACTGCTCGGGTGACCGGAGGCCCCTATACTTTTAACCGCAATGAAAACAAAGGAATTGATTCTAAAAGCGAACCATGAGCCTGAGTCGTACCAATTCCTTCAACGTAGTGACGGGGAGAACAATACGCCACGCTGCATCCAGCCGCGTTCTCTCGTACCGCCAATATGTGTGTGTTTTTTTAAAAAGACTTCGTGACATTCATCCAATCGTCGAAGAATGGGAAGAGCTCAGCACAAGAAGCAATTTTGTCTTTCTTTTTGTTGACGAGCATCATTAGTGGGTAGAGCTCTTGTGTAGGATTTAAAATTACGGAATCATTTGGACCACGGGCTATTGTGCGTGCAGCGTGCAGCACAATAGCCCATGCTTGCCTAAAGTATTATGCGGGCGTTCTATCAGAATTGTTTTGAAAACAAAATAAATGAGGATGAGTGGCGTTAATAAGGCTCAAGGCAAGCTGATCCAAAGAATTTTCTCAAATTGCTTTCTGCGAATTTCATCCACATTATCTCTGAACAGGGACATATGTGGACAATATATGTGGGTTATGGGACCTCCTTTGCCAGTACCAAAATATGAGAATAAGTTTTCCCCTTTTTTCTGGCAACAAAACAGTTGTGTTAAGATGTTAAAACACCAAACGGAAACCTTTTACAAGGAATCATGTCTGCATTAATCACAATACTTGTGGTCAGAATGCAAACAAAAAAACATACTCTGATAATATATGCATTTTTTTCGATTTAAAGCTTTCGTGACTGCAGGGATTCATATTCTATGTTCTTTCGGTAAAGTCACGCTTGCACAAGCAGCTGCTTGCGTTGTGGCCGAAACGTCGTGAGAATTTCATTTTATGATGTTTTATTTTTATTATTTTCCTTCTACGTGACTTTACCGAAAGAACCAAGAATATAATAAACGCATTGTCTTTAAAACTGATTGGTCCACACCAGAAACAGCTTTCTTTTTGAGCCTCGTCTCAAAACGGTTTTGACCAGCGGACGCCAAAAGGCGTCCTAAAGGCGTCCTCTGGCCAAAAGGCGTCCTCTGGTCGAACCCTCGTTTTGTTGCCAGACAAAAGTGGAAAACCTATTCTCAATATATGTGGGCTCGACGACTCATTCGGCCACTATTGAGTCGTGACATAGCCAACACGGTGGTGTCTTGACAAGGCTCGATTATTACAACTCACTACTCTACGGGAGGTCTGGCAGAAACTTTAGCAAGCTGCGGTGTGTGTGCAAAATGATTTGGCACGTGTCGTGATGGGTACTGCAAAATCCGACCGTGTCCGTCCGGTGCTCGCTGAGCTGCATTGGCATCTAGTTGCTGAACGAATACATTACAGGGTGGCACTCGTTACACACAAAGTGCTTGTCACAAATGAACCACAATACCTTGTCGATCACATCAAGAAGCATAAACCATCATCACACGAACTCCGGTCATTCTCGCAGCGGCTTTTGGCTCACTGTCGAACAAAGACGGTCACCGCATCGCACGCTTTCAGAATGCTCTTCTGCGCCCGTCTGGAAAGCTCTTCCTTAGGAAGCCACTGGAGCTATGCACTTTCAAATCAAGACTGAAAACTAATTTCTTTAGAACTGCTTTTTGTATTTAGTCTGTTTTAGTCCTTTCTCCGCACATCCGATTAGCACGGTTTGCTGCGTACGGTGTGAATGAAGTTCAACATACACACACACATGCGTACCAAATGTGGAATGATGGAGCTCTATTGAGTGCCTGCACGAAGAAGCAGCCAACCCTGTGTCTCAGCAAACTTTTTGGACGTCACTTTTGTTGTTTTACTCGTGCTTTTTACGCTCGACATTTACATTCACGTGCATTTACCTCGGGCCCGTTATCGGCTGTGATGACGCGAACACTGCCACAATGGAACGAAGGCCGATAAGTGCGCGGAAAAGAACGGAGAGGTCCACACTTGGGAACGCCACCGAGAGATAGAAAGAACAACGCACGGCTCTGTGCACACGTGCCGCTGAGCGGCATCACATTGACCGCGAAGAGGAGATTATTGTTTTGAGTTAAAGATAACGAGAAGGCTTGGGCAGGACACTCGTCGTGAGCATGGGACAATGTGAGACTTTCGACAGAGTGGCAGCCAGAGGCGGGAAACTCGCCCGAGAGGACAGGACGACACGCTGGCGGAGATGTGAGCGATGAGATCGACTCACGGTGCACGAGCTTCGATGGATCGCTGCATCACGAGACCACGCATGGATGGGCACGACATGGTGGGTGGAGGGTCGAAGGGGGGTGGGTGGAGGGGCATTCATCCAGCAGTGGAGATGGAGCCTGGCTGATGATGATGATCATCATCATGATGACTGCTGACATTTATGGGTTTGTAAGAATGAATAGAAATGTGGCTTTGTGAACTCGGCGGCGTGGTCACTGCAGGCAAGTCACGACCACCATGGACGAGAGGGTCACGTGTGCCCGCGGTGGCTTCGTATGCACACGAGACTGCCAACAGTGTGACCGAGACGAGAAAAAATGAACCTGTAAAAACAAAGTTTTTCACTATAAATCCTTAATATGCGTGTTCAATGGGCCACAACCCAGCCCACATTGGTCTTTGAAACGGGCGGCTAGAGTCCTCTCGTCCTCTGGCTTGAGATGGCTGCCACCTATGGGTCAGATGATTGCTTGCCACCATTAAGCAATTGGTATTTAAATATGAAAAAAAATTCCTAAAAAGTGTAAGATTTTGGAAAAAAAATTTCACGAAAATAAATTGTCACGCACAACGAGTCTGTGTGCAAAATGTCAGCTCGATTGGATCACGGGAAGTGGGTTAAAAAACGACCGAAAGATTTGCACGGTCGTAAGCGCGCAAGCAAGCAAGCAAGTGAACTTAATATAAAGGATTTAAAAAGAGGTCAAAGCCGGCCATCGCCTCTTTGATCAGATGACAAACAGAGGCCACCGTGGCACGGTTACACTCAACGCTTTTTCCTCCCCCTCCCCGCTCCCCACACAACACTGACTCGTTCGAGAGCAGTCGGCAGAGCATTCGACAATGTGGCCACCGTCTTTGAAAAGTGGCATCGCTCGACACGAGCGGCAAGTGGCGAAATGAGATCGACGATGAAACGCTGCGGTTCAGCCTTAATGCAAACGACGGTGAGATAATTGTTTGATTATTTTATTATAGCTATTTGCCAATCCGGGTTGTCACGTAATTACTGGCGAAACGTCGTACTCAGGATTGTAAATGTTGTGGCTTGGTTCTCCAACACACTGGTGTGCTGTACTAGTACACTGCACTATACACTACACTACTATACAGTACACTATACACTACACTATACACTGCACTACTATACATTACACTATACACTGCACTACTATACACTACACTACTATACACTACACTATACACTACTCTATACACTACACTGTACACTAACTATACACTACACACCGGTGTTGCTGTACTAGTGACGAATTGGCCACGTTCTGTTTACGTGACAACCCTTACTAGTTGGCTGTGTCGGGTGGTGGCGGGTTTTAACGACACATTTATATATGTACGCGA